GATCTTCCCCGCTCTTGTTTACCATGTCTTATCAGCTATGAAATTGATATGAATATAAAGTGGTACTTTTAGCCACAAATGCAAGTTTATGGTTTTTAGTCTTCATGCCTGTTAGACTGTAGCTGGTTGAATTAAATGCTCCTTATGGCTCCTCTAAAAATGGTGGGGTTTTGGTAATGGTGATAGCTTTCCACCCAGTACTTTTCAACTGTAAAAACTAACCCAAATCAGAAGAATCAAAGGTAAGGAAAAGGTAGCTTTTGTGACATCTGTAATTGCACTGAACTATCTGGAAGCACTTTTAGATACAATTTATGATTTTGTAGCCAATTTTAAGGCAAAATCTACCGTTAAAATTGGATTGGAAACCTTGAGCATTTAGCTATTACAGTTGTATAACGGGATTATGTCCTGCTCTTCATGCTTTTTTCAACTGCAAAGACTGATGTTCTCTACCTAGAGGGTTTTCTAGGTAGCAAACTAAGAAACTTCAGCTATTCCATAGTAATTTCCCACGTGGATAAGTACAATGCAAGCTCTGATAAAGGTTTCTCTGGATTCTTTACAAGTCAGTCTCCATAACCGATTTATTAAATACCTGTGCAAACTTAGAGCCAGTCAATAGGAATCAAATTGCACACAGAGTTGAGAGGAGTTTTGCTGTAAAATCTGGCTTCATTAGAAAACACTGTAACCAAAGCAAAAGAAGCTACACTCAAATAATTAATGTGATGTAGTGACAGAGCTGCAATTTTCCATCCTGTCTAGCCCAGTATGTGGTAGCCCACACAGAAAAGCCACAGTGGTCTACCAGTACTACAAAATGCATGTAAAAGATGACATTCAGCATCTGAGAGTTATCTCAGTACTCTGGAAAAACAGGCATCTGCTCTTCCAATTACTTTTGTCAAATCAGAAGAGTAGACTGTGAGCTCAATGAAGTTACTTAACAGATGAAAATTAACTATATTGCTATATTAGAAAGCAATCATTATTTACCTGAGGGTTCCAGTAGCTCCTTTAGAAGGAGGCCACATCAGTAAACATTACACATCTAGTGAACCTGCCTAGCTGGGAGAGCTTTGTTCTAGCTGGCATAGGAAGGTACTGATCATATTAACCCATAACATCAAGGCTGGATGTAGCTCATAGATACTTTTTTTTGTCTATTAGTTTTTGGGAAAGTGGTGGGACTGGGGTACAAGACTTTCTCTCTAGCAGAGCATTGCAAGCCAAGATAATAGTTCTGGACTATGTCTGTTTAATGCACAGCTTCCTCTCTTGGCTCATTAAAACAAAAATAGCATAAATTGCTATTCACATAATTTTTCACTGCTGCCCACTCTCGGGTTAAAACTGGATCCCTTTCTCCTTGAGCTCAAGTAATGTGAGCAAGTGTTTTCTGTCCACAAAAGTCCATGGTTCTTTGATCTCTCCCCCCACCCCAGGTTCTTCATTTTCTGCTGAAGCAGAACAGCAGAAGTGAGAAAGATGACAGAGTGCCAAGGTGCACCAGCTTTTGCAAGCTGTTCTGACTCAGTGACATCTCAATGGTGAGATTTAAAAACCACACTCTCAGTCCCACAGAACTCAGCAGTGTTCCCAAATCTCCACAGGAACAGAGTAAATGTGCAGAGTATAGCTGGATGCCATGGTAAGGTATATGAGGTTGAAGAACTAACTGAATTTTGTAATTAAAAAGTAGTATTTACATTGCCTGCAGTATTTCTCTGTAAGAATGAGAATCAGATTATTTCTTTACAGTTCTGAACAAACTGTGGTACCGACTGCCAACCATCTGGGTGAACCTTTTCTGCAATAGCTTGAATTCATCTCAACATCAAAAGTACAGGGTCCACTCAGATCTCTTTCATACTCCAAAATATAAAACCAGCTTGAAGACTAACAAATTGGTCAGCAACTTGTGATTTCAGACAACCCTTTTATATGTTCCACAAGTACACAGGGGTGATAACTAGAAGGGAAAATGTTAAGATCATCATTGCAGATTACATAAAACAAACATGGAGAGAAGCTTAAACTTCCAAGGAGAGTCTACAGTAGTTTTGATATTGCTGAAACCCATCTATCATGAAGTCCAAAACCGCAGACTGTCATCATGATTTTCATTTATCTAAAAACACTGCCTTGTTTTTTCCAGCTTTCAGTAAATGTAACTACCACTGCTAAAATTTGATCAATATACCATGGTTTTAAATCTACTTACCAAAGCTAAACCTCGAGCTTTGTATTTGACACCTTCCTTAATGACATACAACTGTGTTTCGTAATGCTGTAGTTAATTTTCAGTGAAAGCAGAGTTTAAGGTATTTTACTCTCTATGTCTTCCCCTAACCCTTCAAGAGCCTGATCCCTGAATCCTCCAAGCTCTACTCTTATCTTCTGCTCATGTTGCAATTTTTTTAAGGACTGCAGGATATGAGCTAAACATAGTTGGAACTTCCCTCCCTACCTGTTGGGATTAGGGTACTATCCCTAGCTCTTCCCCACCAGTTTTTCCCATTCTCAGAGGATTTTTTAGGTCTGCCCTGAAGTAACTTAAAGGCTGCTGCTGCTATGCCTTCTTGGTGTTCATGAACAGGCTCTCCTGCCTTTCTCCTGCCTTTTCTTCCCTTCCTCAACTGTTTTTAGTTATTAGTTATAACTAGGGTGCTTGTCAATCTGGTATTCACAGTCTAATTTCTTCTGCTAGCCTAGCAGGGTTTAGCAAGATTTATTAACATGTAAGAGAACTTTATAAAACCACTTTATAGCCTTTCCTCTAGTTTTCTTGTTTTTTCTGTTATACAGCCCATTGATCAAAACCCAAATTCTATTGAAAAATCTATAGCTGGAACTGTTCTGCACTGTCAGATACAAAGTTGCCATTAATAACTTAATTCATAATTAGATATGTAGGACATGCATGGTTGCACTGAAATGTCTAAAGAAAAGAAGAGTATAAATACTGAAGAGATTGAGTAACAGCTTTGACATCAGCTTCAGGAATGAAAGGGTATTCACAAAGAAAAAAAGAGAAACCATGTAATTTCTCTTGCCTATCCATAACTCCTTTTTCTCCACTTTTTCACCACTTCAATGTCAGAGACTCTGGCAGAAGCACTTAAACATGCATTCAGTTTTGTACAATGGATTGACCCAACTTTTACATCACAGAAAAAAAGCATCTAATTTTTGTCTGTATAGTTTTAACAGCCTAATGACCTCTAAAGGCAGAAACATCAGCTTCTTTCCTTTCATGCATGTTGTTCTGTTTCTATTTAAGTATCTTTGTGTGCTTCCCCTTGGTACCTCTGTCACCCAGATTCACTGCTTTCCTTCGGTCCTCTATTTGCAAGCTTCCCTCCCCTCCACCCAGGATGAATTTCTAGCAGCTGGGTTCTCTCCTACACAGATCATCTTTCCTTATACTGTGAAATAGCAAGCCAGCCACACAGCCATATATGAGGCTACACTGAAAGAAAAAAGCCATTTGATATTAAAAAAAAAAAAAAAATTCACCTCCATCTCCAACTGTTTTTGATGCCTCTCATGTAATGGCATGTACCTTCACAGACACACATAAACCAACACTAAAAGACAGAGCTATTAGAAAAAAGTAGTTTTCATGTTTAATGTATATTTCTGCATACTTGCAAAATTCTAATCTGATTAAAATTCTTGCACCACAATATTGTTTACCCAATGAATATTAAATATTTAAGAATATGACACTATTCCAGAACACTAGAAACAAAATATAGAAATCAGCTCTTAGAAATATTTTTCTCATTAAGCACTTTTCTACTGCCTGACCCTTTTTTGAAAAGCTTGATTATTTGTTCATCTATCTACAGAAAAGCACGTGTTCTTTAGAAAGTAGCTAAGTATTTGAGGACGGTCTACATAAGCACAGTTTAAAGATCTTCCATCTGCTTCTCTCATTGCTATAGATAAAGATGGTGGCATCAAAGTGTACAAAAGGTGCAAACACTCTGAATTCTTTTACTCATTTTTGCACTGGATAGAAAATTTAGGGTCCTGCATTTTGGTCACAACAACCCCATGCAGTGCTACAGGCATGGGGAAGAGTTGGCTGGAGAGCTGCCCAGCAAAAATGGACATGGGGGTGCTGGTTGACAGCCAGCTTAACATGAGCCAGCAGTGTGCTCAGGTGGCCAAAGAGGCCAACAGCATCTTGGCCTGCTTCAGAAAAAGTGTGGCCAGCAGGAGCAGGGAGGTGATTGTGCCCCTGTACTTGGCACAGGTGAGGCCGCACCTTGAGTACTGTGTGCAGTTCTGGGCCCCTCACTATAAGAAAGTGAACAACAACAGGACAGGAGGAAATGGCCTAAAGTTGTGGCAGGGGAGGTTTGTATTGGATATTAGGAAGAATTTCTCAACTGAAAGAGTGGTCAGGCACTGGAACAGTCTGCCCAGGGAGATGGTTGAGTCACCATCCTTGGAGGTATTCAAGAATTATGTAGATGTGGCATGCTTAAGGGCATGCTCTAATGGCTGAGGTTGTGGGGGGGTTTTTTGTGGGTGCTTTTTGGTGGGCTGTGTGTGGACGTGTGTTTTATGCATTGTTTTTATGTCGGTTGGGTTGTGGGGTTTTCTGGGGGCAGCTTGGGTTAATGGTTTGACTTGGTGATCTCAGAGGTCCTTTCCAACCATGGCAATTCTGTGTTATGTGCAAAGCTAGCAAAGTTAAAGTTACTTCCTTCTAACTCAGCATCTCATTTGGAGAAGGTGCATTCAACTCCGTCACTGCTCACAGGTCACTCAAACTCTAGGAACACAGATCTCCTGCCACATAACCTTGCTGTACATCATCCACCTAGATTATTTTCCTTCTCTCTAATTTTTTTAATAGCTTTACAATTCTGACCACACTTTATCCCCCTGTTTCCTCACCATGAATTAGCCACAAGGGACAAAATCAAATCTTGTTTTGTTTACAGGAAGTTTCATTTCAAGATCAAATTTTGAATCCTTACCATGGTCTGTAGGTTCAGACATGCAGAGCTGACTCGATGCCTCATTTTCACTTGGTTCATCATGTCCAATGGACACACAATCAGTAGTACTGCCTGGCTGAGAATGAATTTGGGGTTTTGAAGTCTCATCAGATTCCTTAGTTGAACAAAGCAGCATGGAGAAACAGGTACAGTTAGAGCTTCAGCAGGATCCCAATACAATGGCTGCCCTGATCTACACAACTGCTGGGACTTGTATTAGGCAAACATTAAAAAAAAACACAACTAACTTTTTTGTAAATGATCAGTAGTGACTGAGACACAAGCTGAGACAGAGCTAACCAGCTGGGTTTTTTTCCAGACACAATGGGAAATAGAAACTAGATTGTATGTGAAAGAGAAGGTAGAAGACAAAGCACTATTCAAAACCTCACTATATCTGCAATGCTTTCACTATTTCCAAACTGACACTGTTCCCTCTATGATAAGACATAGTGCTAGAATTGAACAGGCCCATCTTCTGTTGCAGATAGCTTAAAAGCAAAGGAGACCTTACACTGGGAGTCATTCCAAGACCTAATTCTTACTAAACAGCCAGTTGGAATGTTAATATTCTTAACTAATCAAATGAAATGAACCCACAAACCAAAGTGGGTTTGAGTGTTTAAAGGATTATAATTCTGAAATTATCTTGAAAACAAATGCATTTTGAACTCTGATATCATGCAGACTATCAGGAAGTACATTCCAGAGAACAGATTTAGTTTTAAGGGTGACTTAACAAAAGAAAACTGTGCAATGAATAGAGAGTTTGTTGAACCATATCTGAATAACTGAATGTGCTTTCCCTCATCACCGATTAAAAAGTTGAGCTAAGCAGTCCAGACTTCGATGCACTTCCAAATGATTGGTCTTATAACAGGACTGTGCTAAAGAAAATACAAGGAAAACAGACGGCAGGTGTACACTGAATGTGCATCAATGAGATCTCTGAAACAACAGCCTGTACTTACATGTAGGATATCAACACTCAGCTGCTGGAAATTACGGGACCTAAATTCTTGCATTCGTTTGATGTTTTCTTGATATTTTTCTTCTGCCAGCTGTCTGTAAATACAGAATACTTGTGTTTAGGATGTGATATCAGGGACTGCAAAAAGGATCTTCTAAAAGTACATATGGAAAAACAAAATCCATCATTAAACTCTCATAGTGGTGCCAGAAGTTCATGGCAACTACTGAAGATGAGGTTAGCTTTCGTGGACTCACAAATAGATTTCAGGCTTATTTCCAAACAATATTATATTTTTTGTTCACAGCCTGCATAATATAATTGAGAGATAGTAATTTATTAGCCCAACCTTTTTGTTTCTTCAAAATATCTTAAATATTTTGGACTTTATTCTACCATTTAGTCCAAGGATCTTTCAGCTGAAGACAGGCAGGCAACATTTGTATGTAATTCTGTTGCTGGGGAAAAAACCCATGAAAATCTAAATAGAAAACACCAAAGTGCAAGAAAGTAAAGAAAATGAGAAGCAAACTAGAACTATCTGCAGTTAGTATTATTTCCTAATCCCTATCCATTTTTCAAAAGTGAAAGGGACAGACTTCCTATTTATAAATGTCATATAAGTACAAAAAGTGGACTATTGTATTATTGAAAACATCATGCAGAAGAAGTGTTAAATTTACACAGCAGTTTCAATTCAACAAGATTTTTTAAAATGAGAATAAATTTGTATACCATCTCCAGTATCAATTGCAATGGTAACTGCTGGATGGATACACATGCCAATAAGTCACATTTTCCAAAGGAAGATGAAGGCTTTCAGTTTTTTGCTTATTGCCTTTGTATGGAAGTATCACAAGTAGGCACAAATAATGCCAGGATGTGATTTTACTGAGCGTTTTCACTCAACTGCAATTGCTATTGATTTGCAGACATATGTAGCTGCAGAGTTTCTGAGGCCATAAATTCAGCCTTTACGTCACCTTGTCATATTTTTCTGTGCTAGCATGTCATTGTCCTACTGAGTTGCTAACTTGCTTTGGCATGACAGGGTTAAAATGCCAATTTTAATTATCAAAAACTAATTATTCCATCTATTATCCTCTATAAATAACAGAGTAAACATTTGTTAATTTACATTGCACTTTGCAAAACACTTTTGAAGAGAATGTCAAAAACTAATTTAAAATTAATGTGATGCTTTTCCAGTTTTCATTCATACCAAAAGAAACATTGAATATTTTTAACTGGGAAAAACTCAGATGTGTCACCAGAACAGTATATTCTTTGTTTTATTTTAAAAAGTAATCCATGTGTATGCACATAGTTTTCCAGCTGTTTCTCATATTCCACTCAGAAACGGTACTTATTCTCTTTCAGATTTCCTCTTTTATTATGTCTCACTCACTTATTAAAAAAAATGATCAATGATAAAGCCTTTATAACATGTCTATTCCCCCTGTCTGATCATTTGCTAAGACTGTCCTCTGAGCTATTAACTTCTATTGGCAAATCTCTTAGGCCGAAACAACTGACAAAAGCTGGTTTGTAACTAAACGTCCAACTCCTCTGACTGTGCAATCCTTAAAATGGCAAGTCATCTAAAAAAAACACCAAACCTATTGTAACTCACTTGAAAATCTCTCATAGACTTACTCAACCAGAAATACAGTGCTCAAAGTACTAGTTTTGGGCTACCATATTGACTTTCCCCCCCTCCCCGCATAAATAATTACTGTGAATTAACTCATCCAAAATCCCCTTTCAGTTTGAGTAGCAGAAGACCTTTTTTATTTTTATTTTTACCTTGACAGTTCTAACTCTCTCATTACACTGTTGGATAGGGAAAACTGCACTTTGGGCACAATGTTTATGTTCTGCTCAACTTACTTCAACTTCTTTGCTTTCTCATCTGCAGCATTTAACTTTCTCAGCCTCATTCGTTCCCGTGGTGTCATTTTCTGTACTTCAGACAGCTCCTGCAGAGTTTGCAAATGAACTTTCCTCTGCCTGAAATTGAATGCACGCAAACTCATCTTCATATAAAAGTGTAAATATCAGCATTTTTATTTGATATTGAAACACAGTGACATTTCAAATGGAATTATTAGAAAGCCACAGGTGCTATAACAGAAAAAAACACCTTAATTTGGAAAGTAAATGCCTCTTTTAAACTGAAATATTTCAACTTAGATTCATGAGGAATGTGAAGTATTTCAGATGATAATGAAAAAAGGTAAACTCAGCTCATTAAAAGAATACATTTTGAAGCACAGTGAAATATTTACCCTGTCAGGCTTCATTATTGAGCATAATCCAAGTACAAAGGCAGTCTTTAAATGAGAACCACAGAAAAAAAGCAGTATTGTGCATGCATTTTATATTGATTGTTACAAACTGCCTAGAATAAAAGAAAATCACAGAATCATACAATGGTTTGAGTTGGAATATTAATGTGTTTTTAATGACAGTTATAATTATCATGTTGTGCTTCTGAGCTTCTAGTCCTAATCAATAATAATAATTCACTGATAAAATGGTCTCCACAGACTATCTCTGAAAGCTGAGCATGAATTATTGACATATGTATCTCAGATGTATTTGTCAACACAGATTTTTATCTCACATACTACAGTAACTACAAAAATTAAACCAGACTTCACAATGCCTCAGCAGTTATAGTTCACTTACATGACTTTTTCTACTGGTTACATTTACTATAAGGTCATATTTATATTTATGATAAGGCTACAAAGATGATCAGAGGTCTAGAGCACCTCTCTTATGAAGACAGGCTGAAAAAGTGGCGTTGCTCATCCTGGAGAAAAGAAGGCTTCAAGGAGACTTCATAGTGGCCTTCCAGTACCTAAAGGGGCAGCGGGAAAGCTGAGGAGGGGCTTTTTACAAGGTCATGGAGTGAAAGAACAAGAAGTAATGGCTTTAAATTGGAACAGGGGAGATTCAGGTTAGACATTAGGAAGAATCTCCTTGGGGTGAGGATGGTGAGACACTGGCACAGGTTGCCCAAGGAAGCTGTGGAAGCCCCATCCCTCAAAGTGTTCAAGGCCAGGTTGGATGGGACTCTGAGCAACCTGGTCAAGTGTGAAGTGTCCCTGCCCATGGCAGGGGGTTTGGAACTAGGTGATCTTCAAGGTCCCTTTCAACTCAAACCATTCTACAGTTCTGTAATAACAAGTACTCTTTTCAAATTACTATTTTTGCTCTGACAAGGTAAATTCACTTCAGATCATCTAAAGTTTTGTAACCACATAAATTGCAACACTCCCTCTGGACTCTCATTTTGTAAACAGGATTTTAATAAATGAACAGAGATTTTTTCATTATGCTTTTCAAATGTTGACTATAGAGAGAAATAGTGTAAAGATACAAATATTAGTGTGAAATACAAAAACTAAGGACAAGGACAAGACGAGCTCAATTATTCATAAGAATGGAACTAACTCTTCACATATAAATAATGTAGACATATTTCTTGTCCTCTGTAAAAAAAGTCTAATTTAAATTAAAGGAACCTCTAGGGGGGAAAGCCATTTTTCATCCAAGTTAAAACTGAACTTGTACAGCTTTATGCTTATTTAAATATTTAAAATTTATTACTTGCATGGGACTGGAATAAAGTAAGCCACTAGAGGCCTTTACTAGAAGAAACTAGACTCAACCATACACAGCAACAATAATTCCTGGTGAGAAAAAAAATATTATAAAGTAGCAATGATTGGGGAGAACACTATAATAAGCAGCTCCTTGTACATTCATTCAGCCTAGAGTATTGCTTCATTACAGCAGATATGGGAAATCCACTATGTTTAAATTATTTCTCCTCCACTTTTCTGTTCCCTACCATTTTTCAGGCATTTTTATTTTATGTGATGTAGGATCACAATAATTATTCAGAATGTTGCTTAGCAGTAGTAATACAGAAAGATAACATTCTCATAAATACAATGAAAGCCATAATAAGATTATGACTTTATGCATATTCCAAACATTTAGCCAAATAATTAATCAGATTGCAGCACATTTGAAGATAATTTATAACTTAAGCTTCTCCCAGCATTTTTTTCTCAAGTTGGTGCCTTGAATTTGAAAACTTCAAGGTAAATTTCCATGCCCAAAAAGAAACAGTATCCATTGCTCCACGATTTTTAGGCCCTCTGGATCTCTGCACAGAAAAAGTTGACCTTCTGTTTCCTTTTGACAAAAGTAAAAGGACATGATATTTGTAGACAGAACTTGCTCTTCATCTTAGAGACTACAGACTTGCTTTTGAACAAGAACAGTTACAGACTCTAGGATATATATTAACGTCCTTATTAATAAGCTAGCTCTGTCAATATATGATGTCCATTTAAAAGGTGATGAGACTCAATACATTCAAACTAAGATCAATAGATTTGGCATGGAACATAATATATGTTGCAAACAGTGGTTTTATCAGTCTGCTCTGGAAGCATGGGGATATTTCAAGTCTAGGTATACATTTTGCAGGTAAAAATACTGCTTCCTCAAAACATCTACAATCTTTTGGTGCACATAGATAATTTGAAATTGTGTACCCACAAAATAAAGACATGGATTAAAAGTTTCTGCAAGATTCTCATACTCCGTATTTTAATAAACATTAAGCTCTCAATATAATTCAGACAGAGTTGGCATAATATCTGGGTAAGATCTCAGTGCTCCAAAACTATTTAAGGTATACCTCTGAGGAACATCTCTGCAGTTAACTACATTTTATTGGAAGAGGCAGGAATCTGCTCAAAGTTAAATCAATCGACTTGAACAGAGCAGCCACAGACAAAAGATACACCTAATATTTCCCAGCTATTGCATATCTACCTCTCTGATTCTTGTATTTCCAGCATACTAGTAAAGGGTTATTTCTAGCAGAAGCAATCATGTAGAAAAGCAGGCAGGCCAAAAACTTGACAGCAGCCTCAGCCAGCTCCATCTGCTGTTTTTTATTAGAGAGCTGTTACTAGGTATCACTTACTATTGCATTTTACATCTACCCTTACCAAGTTCAACGACCTATTTATACACAGAGACCCTCAGTCTGATAAAAAGACACAGACTTATCTGTTCATTAGAAACAGCAAGAACAGAATTGACAGGGTGGAAACCCAAACCACAATTTCTAGAATCTGGAGCTTTACAGATACACTCCCAGTAATTAAACTAGGTAAAAATGATGTACAGAATATTTTATTATATTGAAATCCACTGTCTTTGCTTTGCTTTCTATAAATGATACTAAATACCATTTTCCTTGGAAAAGCTGAAGCTTTTTTACCTTTCCCAAACAGATGATTGCAAGCAGCAGAATTGGCAACATCTGCAAAGTGGCCAAAACTACAGGTCATCTCTGAGACCAGAGATCACAAAACTCAAGGGGAAAGGCCTATTGCCCCAAAGGCACTGCTAGTTCTGGATTGAAGCATGGGCATCTTTTATTGGTGTCACCTAAAACTTCAAAAGATATCTGGGATGGTTGTTGAAGTCTTGACAGTTATTTAGAGGAAAGATAGAATCATGAAATCATAAAATGGTTTGAGTTGGAAAGGACCTTAAAGATCATCTAGTTCCAACCCCCTGCATGGGCAGGGACAGCTCACACTAGACCAGGTTGCTCAGAGCCCCATCCAGTCTGGCCTTGAACACTTCCAGGGAGGGGGCACCCACCATTTCCCTGGGCAACCTGTTCCAGTGTCTCACCACCCTCACACTAAAGAATTTCCTCCTGATCTCTAACCTAAATCTCTTCTCTTTCAGTTTAAAACCATTACCCCTTGTCCTCTCACTATAAGCCCTTGTAAAAAGTCCCTCCCTGGCTTTCCTGTAGGCCCTCTTTAGGTACTGGAAGGCCACTACGAGCTCCCCCCATTCAAAGCAGGATGCCCATCATGCCCACACAGGATCACAAACTCCTGATCTTGAATGTGTTAGCTCCTGACAGAGCAAAAGTTGCTCTTCTGTATTTCTGTGGATTGGGTCCCTCTAAATATAAAGAACTAGGAGATTAACACATATGTTTACAACATAACATTATTTGGCAACACTGTAATTTCATATACTGCCTCCCATAAAACACTTTAAAATACTTACACAGCATCAAAAACGGGAGCAGCTTCTTTCTGTCTGTTAAGTGCCTTGTCTTTCACAGTCATGTTTGTGAACTTGTACTGTATATGCTGCAAGGAAATAAGGTATAAGTGGCATCAACACTTGAGGTAAAAGCAATCTAAACTCTTCAGCTATGACCCAATACAATCTTAAAGCAAAAACTGACTGAGCAGTTCCTTTCCTCATCTTCTTGGAAAGCCAAATAATATGTACACTGAAGCAAGAAAGCAACATGCAAAAAGCAAAAAAAGCAAGATGCATTCTTTTTCATTAAAAATATGACACTCAGAACAGCTTAGTGATTTTATGTACTCAGGCCCAAATGATCTGCACTTGCTACACATAAATGCCTATTCTTCTTATTGCTCATAATATTCTGAAGTGGATACATTCAGCACATAAACTGTCAAGGACTTCATTTCTCATTGCCTCGCTACTTCATTCGTATTTGTAATTTAGCTCTGAAAGTCCCTTGGATTAATGTTCCCATGAACTGCTGTCTAATTATTTTTTCTCAACACATTTTCTCTGCCCCCGCTCTGCTTTTGCAAAATACATCCTCAAACAGTAAATATGTGCTATGACTCTTTCTTATATACCTTTAGTTGTTCATCAATATAAGGGATTTTTAGGATCTCTGCTGCTGCTGGTCTCAATAAAGGATTCTTATTTAACATGCTGAAACAATAAATACAAAAAGACATAATTAAGCAGTTTTCCAAATTAACTTAAAAAACTGCTAAACAAGAAAATAACCTACCTGCACAGCACAGCATTCAGTTTCCTTGGATATCTGTCAGGAAGGGAAGGTGTATCTCCTTCTACAATTTTTAATACAACAGACAAAAAATTGTGTCCAGTAAATGCATGGCTCATACAGCACATCTCATATAAAATGCATCCCAGAGACCTTGAAGAATAAAATAATAGGAAAGGTATAAAACATATTTTTGAAAGTAGCATGCACACTGCCACTACAGCAGGTAAAATCACAATCTAAAGCCCGTTTCTCCAGGGAATAGGATATTTCATTATCATGCTGTCCTTTTCATCTGAAATATTTTTATTCAGATCACAAATGAGTAACTTCATAAAAAAGGAGGAATCATCATTCTATCTCCGTAAGTGCAGGAACAAACTTTGATGCTGCCTATAAATACACATATTCGTATATATGTATGTAAAAATGAAGAAAGACTATTACGTGTTACTCAGTAAGTTAATAATGAGGGTTTTTTAAATTAGTATTTAATTAGTAACTTAGTTTAATTAATTTTTATTAATTAATTATTTTAATGGAGAAAATAGTTTAGTGTTTGGACATAGGTTTGTCCAAATTGGTTTTGTGACTTAATTTCTGACAACAAACAAGTTAAAATTCAATTCAAATTGAATAATGCCAGTTTCAAATAGCAGAACTATCTTCAGGTGGGATCTCACTCATTTGGCCATATACTCAAAATAGATTATAAAACAAGTTTGTACTGAAAGAAATACAAAATTTTAGATGAGAACATTGTATTGCAACTGCAACATCTAAAACTAATTTTTCTGGAAATATTCTTTGGAGAAGAAAAGAAGAAATCTGAACATGTAGGTCTGGAGGCGTAGCTAAGAACCAGAGTGACTTTTAAATTATTAAACACCAGAAGTAATTCTAGCAAATCATTTCAAAGGGGCCTCTGGTTTATCATCACCTTATTTACCAGGCTTTTATTGACCAGTCCTAATGGAGATCGTAAAAGATCACCAAGTTGAACATTTTTACATAAACACTCTCATAATAATGTATACCATGACTATTCAAAACAGTTCACTCTCCAACTGGGTTCTGCCTGACAAATGTTGTTTTTTTAAAAAAATAGGGGAGTCGAGCTTTTCAGGCTTTGAAGGATGTTCAGCATTACCTTCAGTTCACAGTCAGGAGAACTAAGGCACTGGTAAGTTCTATGATCAAGGTCATAGAAAATGCTGGCGAGAGCCAGCCACAGGATTAAACTCATCTAAGTAGCCAACTTATATATCAGAGTGACTTTACCATTAATGTAATATTTGATTGTGGTATTTCAAATTTATAGAAGCAGTATGAAAATAAAGCCTAGTGATATTAAGTAAGAAGTACATACAGGTGAATGGCTTTGATTAAAAGGATATAAACCCTACCTCTGAAAGCAAATAATGAACAAAGTTTCAATTATTTATTTTAGTTAAAGAAGAATAATTCATTTCATCTATCTGACAGTAAAAGAACAAGAGCAAATATTTTCAAAGATGAAGCACAAGCTCTACATACAGTTCAAAAAAGGAAGAGGAGAGAGAATAGGGAGGATCTCTCACTGGTACTTTTTAAGCAGAATGTAAAAGCAATTGAACACTTTTGCTAACAACTGCATAAGGACCAACTACTGAGATACAAAATAATTTTTAAGATTTAACTGTCAACCAGTTTCAAACTCCCCAAATCAGTAACACACAGGTAATGATCCATATTTATGAAGGATGTTCAAACTCTGAAACAAGATAATTACTGCATGAGAAAATACTTACAAACAAAAAGAACAACAAAAAACCCTGCACACATGGCATCTGAAAGCGTCAAACAAAAATGGAAACCAGCCAGAGGGAATTAAAGAGAAAGGAAAATCCTAATCTGACAGACTGCACAATAACTGCTTTTTGCAGAAATAATCTGTTTTGGAGGCTGCTTGATTCTAGCAGATAGAAATTGCTTAATGAGCCATCAGAAGCACAGGATTTGCCACATCAGGGAAGCCCATTTATTCATCTAGTGTAGTACTCCAACTACATCTGAGGCTTTGGAGACAGATGAAAAGAACATTCAGGGCATTCTCCTGCAGCCAGGGCCGTGAACAGGCTACCCAGGGAAAACACCATCTGTCCCATGAAAGAAAAATACAGGGGAAAAAATATATAGGAAAAAAATGACAGAAAAATAATAAAATTTTTACTGCAGGATACAGTTCTTTGATATTAAATAAATACCTCCTAAAGTGAGAAACACTGCCCTAGGTCCCAAAGCAAGACTATTTCTTCCCAGGACAGCTGCATTTTGCAGGGA